CAAAACTAACCACATTAAGTTGGTTTTAAGAATGGTCTAATTGCACTACAATTGTGACATTTTGGTGCATTGATAGGCCATAACTGATTTGGCATGTTCTTTATAATGAGCAGTATGGCTGTGATTGACAGTGAAATAGATTGATAGAACCGCATATGAAATCTCCATGTGCTGACTGTAGCCCGCCAATTATTTCGCAATTTTTCCCATACTACCCCTTGATACATCATTATTTCCCCCTACGTAGATGGATCGAAAACGACTGCCATGGAATTAGGAACCCTTGATGATTGGTAATGTACTAATGAGACCGTGATTTGATGAATTTTAAGGGGTTAATCAAGAAATAGTTAGTTTGTCGGGCCTAGGAACATTTCCATGTACTTATGCTGAGAATTTATTTTATGCTTCTCTAGCCTTCCCTACATAGAGAATTTTTTTGCCTTCATTCTTTTCCTTTTCTGTAGTTGATATTGATTACCGATATATCGGTAACTATCACATTAAAGACCTAGATGGTCTCTTGAGGACATTGAATAGCTGGAAATGAAAGTAAAAGTTCGGTTGGGGTAGGGGTGGCCGGTGGGGGGTTGGAATTGGTTGTTTATCAAACTTTCCATTTTGTGTCTTTATAAAAACATACCCTTTTTTATGAATAGGATTCGTTTATATTTATTGAGTGGTCCTTCTCTGTAATTTTCACCATGTTTTGTTTTAGGTGAAGTTGGGTTTTGTCAACCTGGCTGATTATGTTTCCATGTGAGGTTGTGACAGTTTTAATTTATCATGTGATTAGTCAAATATATTAACGTTTCATAAGTTTGTCTCTAGTGAGATGAATTTGGTCATACTATGGGACATCTGAGGGCTTAAACTAGCTAGTTTCGCAAATGAGAATTTGATCCCGCAACCTTGTACTCCTTGCATTCGAGTCATTCAGGGTAAGGGAGGGGGATTAGGTTTGTTATTTTTCGTCGTGAAATATTATGTTACAGAAGTCGCGATCATATTGCTAATATTAGTATAAATGTGCTTACTGATGTGTGAAAGCGATTCCGTCTGAAAATGTGCTAGACTGTGATCTTAAGCAATTTCCCAGAAATTATTAGTTGCATTCATTAACACAACGATAACTAGTTAAAACAAACTGTATTAAGAAAGCAATGATTGAGTGGTGGCAAAGCTGTAGATCTGTAACAATCATTGCTTAATAATTATAATTTCAGTTTCAGTGTGCTGTGATGCTTCTAGTTTAAGAGCATTTTTTTCCACGTATTTTGCCAATGTTAATAAATTAATATTAATACAAGTATATTTTATATTTTGACTGACAATAATGCCTGAGATTTTAATATGCTGTATGCTTTAAGTAGTACATTCATCTCCTTTATTTGATTGGATTTCATGTGAGTTCATCATATTTGGCATCTGCATTGTCTCTTCACATTGATTGCATTCTATTTCTTACCAAATAATGGCATTAAAAAGCTGGTTTTATGATTGTATATTATGTGGAATGAATTGTTTCAGGACAGATGATTTGTACATCATGAAATGTGGGTATCATTTGTAGATTCTTGATTTACTTGATCTATTGTCATGTTACGGTATACGGAGTATGATACACTAAGACAAATTTGAATTAGCTCATATGTTTTTGGGGCTAGGCTTTTATGATTGGCAAACCTAGACCTATCAAAATTCATTAGTTTTAAATTAAGATCGATCTAGACATGAATCGTACAAATCGGATGATATGATTATTAGCGGGATTTAGGATTGAACCGATTATAGCTAAAGTTGGTTCAATCCATAGCCACCTCTTGGTGAGGTGGTCACTTGACCCTCTGAACTACATAGTACTTAGACATGTCCAAAGTTGACCTGATTTGATTGACATGACAAAATTAAAAGTCAACCAAAAATAATTAATGTATTCAATTCATATGAACATAGTGAAGTAGTCTAGAGGTGATCAAAGGGTGGGTCGGGTCTAGGCGAGAAAAATCAGCCTACTTGCTCAGGTCGGGCCAAAAAAAAAAAAAAAAAAAAAAAAAACTAAAACTACAAAAATGCATACTCAAGCCCACTCATGAAATTTAATAGTTTGGATCTCATAAGGCCCCATCAGATGTGGGCTGAAAAATCTATCCAAAACCCGCCTAAAATTAAGCTAAGTCGAACTGGGCCAGCAGGCCTAGCTGAGTTTGATCAGCTCTATAGTGAACCTATATAAACAATTATTTAACAAACTGGTTAAAAACCGAACATAGACCCAATTTGACAACTTTACTGAATTTTAATTATAAATGTGAGTTGTTCATAGTAAAAAGTTAAAATAATAGTTATGCTAAAGTCAAATTTTGTACCACTTTTAAGCATACAACCCTAAACTATTTGGTATCAGCACATTTTATTTGACATATATATTATATATATGCTTAAAACTTAAAAGTGGTACAAAATTTGAGTCTGAAAGATCAGAAATCAATTTACTCTATTAAATGTGTTCCATAGACAATGGATACAGTTAGTTAATGTTCTTCTGCTTGTAAAGGTTGAATCAGTTAATTTTCTTACATTGATAGGTATGCAGTATGCACGAACACATTTTATATTCATACTGTATTACAAGAATATTATTATAAGTAAATGTTAAACTATACTTCCTATTTTACCAAAGTACCAAACGTTGAGGTTCTCAAAAAAAAAAAAAAAAAAAAGTACCAAACGTTGAGAAATTAACCTTGGAACGAGTGAGCATTGGCAGCAATCTTAAGATGCTGCATACATTGCGTAGGATGTGGTACACTGGTGCAGTAATTTATATGAATGGGATGTCTTGTGTTTATATTATATTGGAATCTACAAGGTTGGGGGATCCAAAAATGATTTTATGGTTTACAAAATAATAGAAATATTAAACTGATTTGGGGCTCTATATTATATTGTTCACATCATTTTCACTTACTTTACGGAAAAAAAAATGATATTTTTAGATAAAATAAAATAATAGAAAAGTTGTGAGGGAGTCAAAAGGGTATCCAATTTCAATTTACACCATAATAAATTTTCATAATTATTTATTTATTTATTTATTTTTTATCTAAACTTATTATACCCTATTATTGGGTTATATTAGAAATTTAGAACTTAAGGTTTCTTTAATTTTTATTTATTAATTTTATTATTTATTTATTTATTTATTTATTTTGAGGAGCTCTATTTAAATGCAAATATATTCTAAAAACAATGATAAAACATAAATGATCAAAGTGAGTACTTTTTAACTTAACACTTTGACCGTATTTTGTAATTATTATACTCTCTTCTTCCTTTATACCTTCCTACTTTTCGTTTTGACATGTTATTTTATAATTATTAATACCTATGTTTCTAAACCATTTTTTCTCTACTACTAAAAAGTAAAAATAGGATCTAATTTCACTTATGACTACTTCATTTTATATGAGCAGTAAGACCTTGTTCACTTCAGCTTAAAAAAAACAATATTCAGTAAAAATAATTTTATTTCAACAAAAATAAGTTCAGTTCAGTAAAAATCAGTAACTTTAAAGAGGAAATATAGCATAAAATCAGTAAAAATAATTTCACTTCAATAAAATTAATTTCATTTCAGTAAAAATAATTTAAATTCTAGTTCAGTAAAAATAATTTCAGTTCATCAAAAACAAGGTGAAGTAAACGGGGCCTAAACGATAAGATTAAAAAAAAAAAAAGAACGGAGGAAGTATAAGGAAAAAAAATTGTCATGTGGGATATTGTTAATATGTTGCAATTTATATTTTCATAATATCAAATTTTCATAAATACTAGAGATATTAATAATACCTGTTCACTTCACCTTAAAAAAATATTAAAAAATATTTTCACAATATCAAATTTTCATAAATACTAGCTCTTTTTCCTTTGTGGAGAGGTCTGGCAACCGGGTTGCCCATGAGCTAGCTAAATTAAGCTTTTCTTTTGATGATCTTAGAGTTTGGATGGAAGAGGTCCCTATTGGTATCTCTGATTTTGTAATTGATGACTTGAACCATTTGGTTGATTAATAAAATTACTAGCTCGTGTTCCGTCAATAAAAAAAAAATACCTGTTCACTTCACCTTAAAAAAAATATTAAGCAAAAATAAGTTCAGTTCAGTAAAAATAATTTTAGTTCAGTAAAAATAATTTCAGTTCAGTAAAAATAAGTTTAGTTCAGTAAAATTCAGCTTTCTTAAAAAAGAATTATAATATAAAATCAGTAAAGATAATTTCAGTTCAGCAAAAATAATTTCAATTTAGTAAAATTAATTTAAGTTCAACAAATATAATTTTGTTTCATTAAAAATAATTTCAGTTCAGCAAAAATAAGGTGAAGTGAATGACCCTTACTCCCTTAGACTTGTATGTTGTAGACCAAATGCACAAAAAAAAAAAAAAAAAGGAGGGGGGGGGGGAATTATTACCCCAAGTGTAAAATAAGAAATGATCAACAAATTTAGGAAATAAATCATATAATTATTTTTAGCAACCAATAACCACAATGTATCATTTTGGATATCAAAAAAATCAGAAAATTTAGGAAACAAATCATTTGATTATAGGCAACAATATCAAGTGAGATCCTAAGAAATCCCCCATATATAGTAATTAATCCCCAAAAATGATGGATGCAAAAATAGATGATGCACCTATCATTGAAACATTGTAATTTAAATACATTTGCACAATTAGTTGTCTAATCTTCTTGATCCCCCACAAAATTTTAGGACAGCCAAATTTTTAATAAGAATTCATCAAATTTCAACCTCAAAGTTCTCCTCCATATTCTAATTCAAATTCTTGTTAACTGTTCTAATTAAAAGGAATATGTTCCATGATTTTTTATTTTGTTCAAGATTAATTTGTATGAGAGTTTTTGAGAATATTTTTATTCCATTATTTGTATTTTCGAATTCTCAAAAACATATCCACAACCCTTCACATGTATTTTTGCCTACATTCTAGCTACCAAAGATTTTTTTGCTTGAATTTCTAAGAAAATTCTAGTAATTAAATTGAAAAATTGGCTAGGTAGGAACATTAAGTTTATAAAAAATATATTAAAAATAAAATAAAAATGGGAGCATGTTGTAGCAAAGAAGGGGATTATGGAGATCATCGACATATTGATACTTATGAACATGAATATGAACATGAAAATCATGTAATTGAAGGAGAATATGGAGCTTCAATTAGACTACATGGATCTTCTTCTTTTATTTCAATGGCAACTACACAAGGGAAGAAAGGAATCAATCAAGATGCCATGACAGTTTGGGAGGTAAACTTCTAAACTTTTATTGAATTGTTTTGCTTATATGCTCTATCCGTCTATTAAACGTCATTTTTGTACCAATGAAATAAATACTTTCTACTCCGTACGATTTTTTAGTCTCATTTAATTTGTCTTGATCTATATTTTCAAATTATGTAATTTTAATTTTTTTACAATTATGCTATTAAAAAGTTAATAGTCAAAGTTGAGCGTTGGAAAACGTACTAGTCAAAGTGGAATAACTAAAAGAACCCGTAGTTTTTTTATTTATTAGTCACTTTAAGAGTAAGGGATAGCTTAAGTGATAAGAGTTTTTTTCCAGATTTCAAGAGATTGATTCTCACCACCCGTCCTTGTGGTTCTCCGGATACGAAAAAAAATAGCCACTTTGACTTTAAAAGGCCAAAGGGTCACCAATAGCAAAGTACAATTTACTTTTAAGTCGAATACTTTATTTTTAGTTAATAAAAAACACATTTGAGTAAATCTAACAAATCAACGTGATGATGAATGTATTATAAAGTCAATTGCTTGAAAGTGAGGGATAACTTAGGTGGTTAAAGCTCCCCTCCCGATTATATTACTCACACACTTTTGAAGTTGTGGCTCTCTATACAACAAAAAAACAAAATCAATTTTTTTTTATACATATAGTAATGTAAATGAGTCTTCATTTAAGATAATAGGCTGAACAGAACAACTAATTTATGTTTAAACAAACTCAATTTGTCAAATATATCAAAAGATTCAAAACTAGCATAAAATTTGAAACATAGGATGTTTCAATGAATGTTACACAAATATATAACGGTTGAAGCCAATTTGCCAATTAATGTGCTAAATTTTAATATGGTGGCCTGGTTTCAGGACTTTGCTGGTGAAAAAGATGTGTTCTTTTGTGGGGTGTTCGACGGGCATGGACCGAGTGGTCACAAGGTAGCTCGCATTGTCCGCGATCAGCTACCAATAAAGCTCTCCACTGCTCATAAGCTTCTCCATATGAAAGGGCATAGCACGAGTGATATCGATGCATTTTATGAGGACGAAGATGGTGCATTGCTACAGGCATATCCTAGCAACGGCAAGACTATTGATAGCCACCACGACGGAGATAGTTCTGATGCTGTACAGTTGTGGAAGGCTGGCCTTTTAAGGTCATTTAGAGAAGTGGATAAAGAGCTCAGCCGCGACCCTACAATTGAGAGCTATTGTAGTGGTACAACGGCTGTAACGGTTGTCAAACAGGTTGATTTTCTTGGTTATTCTTTATCATTGATCTATATTGTTTAGTTAAAAAAAATGATCATACATTAATTAGTTTAATTTTGTCTAGCATACTTTAGTTTTGCACTTTCATACTAGTTTGATTTTGTCAAACAGGTTGATTTTCTTGGTTATACTATATCATTAATCGATATTGTTTAGTTTCTAAACAAAAAACTTGGCTAGAGCATGATCATACATTAGTTAGTTTGATTTTGTCTAGCATAGTTTGATTTTGCACTTTTATATGACTTTTACATCCGTTTAATAAACAAAAGCAATGCAAAATTAATATGATCATGGAAACAAGTTTATATACTATAACATGTTTATGTAGTAAAACTATGCAAGTTTTCCCCTTGGTGTAGGGAGATCATCTAATAATCGGAAACTTGGGGGATTCGCGTGCAGTTATGTGCACACGAGGGGACAAAGGACAAGTTATACCACTCCAATTAACGGTAGACTTGAAGCCAAGCCTTCCAAGGGAAGCCGAAAGAGTGAGGAGTTGTAGTGGTCGAGTTTTTTCTCTTGAAGAGGAGTCTCATGTTCTTAGACTATGGCTGCCTGATGAAGATAGCCCCGGACTTGCCATGACAAGAGCATTTGGTGATTTCTGTCTTAAAGACTATGGTCTTAGTTCTACCCCTCAAGTCTTCTACCACCAATTGACTGATCAGGATGAATTCATTGTCCTTGCAACTGATGGGGTAAGAAACCTTACATGTTCTTATTGTGTTGCTCCTTAATATTTTGTTACATCTAGCCTAATAAACTTCACTTATACCTAAAAAAATAAAATTTGTGATGCTTACAAAGACATTTCATCCATTGTAAATTAACAATCATAGTTTTATAAACTAGATTTTGAATTTTGACCATCAGAATCAGATGTGACTTATTATTTCAGGTCAAATATAGTGACTTGTAATTTTGACCATCAGATCAGATGTGACTTATAATTTATGAATCACGTGGAACATGAAGTATGCTTGTTACATATGTGGTATGTTACTAAGGTTATACAATATTTTTCAGGTGTGGGATGTGCTAACAAATTTTGAGGTAGTAAAAATAGTCTCAGCAGCAAGGAAGCGATCCCATGCAGCAAAGTTCCTAGCAACACACGCAGTTCGTGCCTGGAAGAGCAGGTTCCCATCCTCGCGAACTGATGACATTGCGGTGGTTTGCTTATTCTTCAAGCCTCCACCCCCAGGAAAATCCATGTCAGAAGTCAGCCACATTACTCCTGACAGCTTGAGCCACCTTAATTCTTCAGTATCTCAACATACATACAGAAGCATTAGCAGTGATGCTGAGGAGGGGTTCGATTTTAGGGACAACAACAAAGGTAAGTTTCAGGACATTCCAGAGGATTGGGGTGAAGGAGAAAGTTTAGTGGACACATCATTGAATTTTCCGCGGTATACAAACTCTAGACACAAAGGCAGACCAACATCGAAAAGTGCTGATAGCGATTTTTGATACAAATTTTTTAGCTTAGGGGAATGAATGAATTAGGGCAGTGAATGATTTTGTGTACATATATATGGTTTTGAAAATGGCTAAAAACCTGCCTAAAGTGAGAAAAGTGTGAGGAACTCTGAAAATTTTTTGTTTTCCTTAATAGTTCAAACTTAAAAGGAAGATACATATAGTTGAATCACATACTAGTTCCTCTTAGATGAACCAAAAGCTGAAACAAAGAAGTTGAACTTCATATTTCTTCTATCATAAGATGTTGCCCAGAAAAGGAGGAGAAAATAGGAAAAGATGTGAAAACTAAACAGAGTTTCATCGGTTGTAATTTTGTGAATACAAGCCTTGTCCCGCTAACATATAGTTGATCATTTTTTTTTTTTTTTATTATCTCGTCTTTATAACCAGTGACGAATCCAAAATCACCAATAAATACCATCAATGCACTAGTATATACTCCGTAAACAATAGAAATATTATCACAAATCACATGAATGACCAATAAATCTTCAAACAAAGTTACAATTATAATCAGCAATTATATAAATGATTCTCGATCTTAACCTTATTTTGGACTGAAAATTATTTTAATGAACGGGATCTTTTTTTTTTTTCCAAACTCAAATTATTTTTACTGATGAAACTTAATTTTCATTGATGCTCTACTACTATATATGTATAGAGTTACTGAATTTTATTAAATACCAGTAATAAACTAATTTATGCTTTTGAATGATCAAGCAAGTTGTATTCAGATCACCACGCCCAGATCAATTTTTCAAAATAATCAAACCAATATTGGCATATGATAATGTTCTGGAAAATTGATTACATTGCTTTGAAAGGCAATTGCGTTAACTGATTTACATGGAATTTCTTTCAAATTATCAGCTAACATAAGTATATACACCATATTTCTGACAAAACAGAACTTTGCAAGACCCAGCCTCACGTGTCTCGTCTATCATGAATCATCACAACGGTATCTATGTACTCTTAAGTCTTAACAGCGGAAGCCCTCGAGACCTGTACGATACCTGTCAGTCTGAAGCTCTCGAGGCCTGAACAGAGGCCACCTGAGAATTATAGAAAGCTTCATTTAGAAAAGTCGAAAGCTAGAGAAGAACACACACAACATTGTGGAGACGCCACTTGATACCAAAATTAAATAGGCTCTACTCTAGCGATATTATGAAACCCTAACAACTTACATCAAGGATAAGGACTATATATGCAATATACCTATAGGGTAGGGTGTATAATAAAGTTAGATTTTGAACCTGCAGAAACTGTCCATTCGATGATGAAGTTCCACAAGTTCATACGATAATAAAATACTCCGTATTTTAAACCTTTAATCATGTTCAGATGAGAAAATTTTAAGAAGTATTAGTTGCTTCAGTGGATCGGTGAGACAATGTTATGATAAATCATAGCATGGAATCTAATTATATCCTAAATCAAGGAATCATCTCTTCGAATAGAAAAGTTACTCCAGTCCCCCAGAAATTATAACAATTCCTCTCGTCCCATACAAAATTCCACCTTCAAAAAATTGGAAGAAATTGGAATATTGATGGATCCATATATGGATATGAATCAGAGCAAGAGTGATGGAGGAAAGCAAATTTCTTCCCTTAGAATACACAGAAATGGAGATAAGATCAGAGAATGCAGACCCATTTCTCCTTTACACTACCCTACACATGCACTTCCCTCTCATTCTCTTCTAGTCTTCCCTACCCCTCTCTCCTCCATTGCTTTCCAAAAAAAAACATAATAGTGTTCCAGTTTGGTGTAAGAGAAGCAGGATAAACATACCGATTGATTTCAGGTAGGGTAAGCCTGTCAATAACGATACTTTTGACCAGATCGGAAACACAGCCTTCCCTTCTTATAACCACCTGAAATTCCAATATTTCCCCCAAAAAAATATTATAAAAAATATAAAAACATAAGATTAATATCTAATAGATATACAAAAATATATAATAAGTATGAAATCCTCAGAAACCAGAATTAATATTGACCTCAACAGCAATTGCCTGTCTCTTATTTGCATTATCATCACTTGCCCTATCACACCTAAGCTCCATAGAGTTCTCAGCTTTATCAAACAGTACTTCAGCAAACTGAAACCAAAGAAACAAATTATGCAATAAATAACTAAATACGGCGCATCAAGATGGAGACAGATTATTCATGAAGTAATCCATCAAGCAATGTTTTCAAGAACAATACAAATTTTTAAACAATGACCACAAGGTATTCACAGAGATGATTCGGCCAAAAATATAATTTTTGACAAGAATAATACCAACTTCAATTATCCTTATTTAGATAGTCTCACTGTTTGATTAAGTGGGAATAATACCAAGTCTATTAGATGTCTACCACTCTTCCCAAAGCATAATTAGCTATTTAAGCAAGTACACACGTCACATACTATTTGCCTCAAAATTGTGTACTTTCTTCCTTATATTTTATTTTCAAGAAAAAAGCCTAATAACAATATACTCCAACTCCCCATGCCCCTTTTCTTTTTACCCACCTCCATTGTTGACCCCCTTGGCCTCCTATAGCAACAACCAGCAGCAGCACCAAACAGAAGTTACACTGATTGGTACCTGCTCCTTATTCAACTGCTAAAGTAGTCATCCAGCGGTTAAGAGACCCCCTTAATGGTAAGCAAAAACCTCATAAAAATCCAAATGGTAACAGTGCACAGGTGGCAGAAAGCGACTAGTGTTGGTGTGCAGTAAAGGAGCAGAGACATGTAAGGAAAGACGATGTTGAGACTTAGTCTCGGCTTATCTTCTTGACTAAGTTGTTGATAGCCTGTATCTAGAGGATTATTGTTGTCAGGCTATGCCAATGAATGTCAATACTCAGCTCTCAAAACCATGTATAAAAAGGCTCAAGGGCACCAAGGCATTTCAGAGTTCCCTGCGCCTAAGGTGTGCCTCTGTGCGCCTCAAAGAAGAAAGGTGCATATAATAAACAGTAAAAAAAAAATTCTGTAAAAATCTTTTTGCGCCTCCGGTGCACCTTATCAAAATCGCTTTGCCTAGACAACAAAAGGGGCATGACCCCTAACGCCTTCCGTCTCAGCGCCTAGGCACGCCTTTTCAAACACTGCTCAAAACATTTTGTGAAATCAACATACAACCCTTCTGACTACCAAGCTGAAGTAGGAAGTAGGAAGTAGGAAGTAGGAAGCCTACATACTTACTAATTGTCCAGATGTTGCATTGGTGGTGAATTGATTATCTCAATTAATGCATAAACTACATATCCCTCATTGGACAGCCTTGAAGCATTTACTGCACTACTTAGCTGATTGATTGGACAAAGAAATCACAATTTTTCATGACTCCGAACTCACTCAAAACTTTTACGGATGCAAAGAGGGCTGCCAAAAGGATGATCACGAATAAACGATGATCACAGATAAACAATGGGATAATTTATGTTTCTCAGTCAACCATTGATAACATGGAACTTACAGAAGCAAATTTTCCTACCTCAATCCTCTACTGAATAAAAAGCTGAAATATGTATTTCTCCACAGCGGTCAACTAGCAGCTGCACTCAATAAATTCTATGCTAGCAAATTATTGTAGCTCTACTCCTTAAAGTACGCCTATACCCTAAGGCCCTAATACCAATTTACAGCATTAATACCATTAGCAATAAAGTAACATAGCATAAACATTGTATATAGTAGAAAATAGGAAGAAAATGATGAATTCTGATTAATAAACTGAATTACAGTACTTTTGTATAATAATTCCACTTTTGAGAGGTGGACTCTATCCCAATTTAGCTTTCCAAAGATAACCCAAAACATTCAGCAATATTCAACATGATTATCTCTCTCTAATTAGCTCAATTTTAGAGCTTTTCCCTAATCCCAAAAATACCCATCTTCCATGATATTACCTCCATTTCAATTTATTTGCAACACTTTGGAACTAAGGCTCCATGGATTGCACCAAGGGTCTGTATTAAACCCTTTTCTTTTAGCAACGGTTCTAGATGAAGTAACTAGACCAATTCAAGATGAGGTTCCATGGTGTATGTTGTTCGCGGATAATATCATTTTGGTGGATGAAACTAAAGATGGGGTTAATGCCAAGTTGGAGCAATGGAGGCAAAGATTGGAATCTAGAGGGTTTAAGCTAAGTCGGAGTAAGACTGAATATTTAATATGTCGCTTTGGTACTCAGAGGGGGACAAATAATGAAGTGGTGAGTTTGAATGGAAAGGATTTGACCATGAGTGAATGTTTTAAGTAACTTGGGTCTGTCATCCAGAAGAATGGTGACATTGATCACAACGTGATCCGCATGATTAAGTCGGGGTGGCTTAAATGGAGAGCGGTCACGGGAGTGTTATGTGACTGGAGCATTCCCTTACAGTTGTAGGGAAAATATTACCGGACTGCCATAAACCAGTCTTGTTCCATGGTACAAAATATTGGGCTTCTAAGAAGGAGCACATTAAAAAGATGAGGTTACGGAAATGCACATGTTAAGGTGGATGTATGTGAACACTCTAAGAGATAGAACATAAATGAAGTTATTCGCAAGAAAGTAGGTGTGACAGGCATTGCAAATAAACTAAGGGAAAATTGCCTGCTTTAGTTTGGGCATGTACGCTGGAGACCCGAGGGTTCACCGGTTCGAAGAGTGGGACCATGGAGGGGTTAATCAAAGGAGATGGAAGCCAAAGATTACTTGATTGGAAGGAGTTAGGAAGGATATAAAGTATATGGATTTGCATGAGGATGAAACATTGAATCGTAAGAGATGGAGGAAGAAGATTTATATCGATGACTACATGGAATAATCAAATTTGGTTCATGTAGCCGAAACCACTTATAAGATTAAGGCCTTGATTGATTGATTGATTTTAGAACTAAGGCTTTGTTGTTGTTGTATTTACCATAAGTGGATACTACAAATTATTTGCAACAAAAGGTTTTCTTTCCTTTTTACTAGTCTTTATTTCTATGTCTCTCCTCATCACCACAACTTTACTTCTCACCCCATTAACACCCACAAACAAATTTTATCTAGATGTTAGTAAATGTCACATCCCTACAAGGTAGTATATTATTTTTTGAGGGGACCCTCTTGCCTCTTCTCTATATCAATTCATAGCATATTGGTGATTAATCACCATGGTTAACATTAATATAGTCATATCTTATATTTTCTTAATCTCTCTTCTTCATCCCTTAATCTCTCTTCAATCCTTATTCTTCATTTTGGTCTCCATGTGAGCTAATTTGTAGCATGTTGGGACTGTGTTCTAGCTTAAACATATCAGGTTGTTGATTACTCTTTCCACTTAGCACATAGGTGCGCCTTTTCATACACTGATTAATCTGCTACTAAATCTCCCTGAATTAGCCTAACCGGCATACTTATACAAGTATACTGTACTCCCTTATGAATAAAATTCAAGTCCTCTCATACTATATAAAACAATGGAGAGAGAGAGAGAAAAGTTAATAAAAATAAATAAATAAATAAGTAAATAAAAATTTAGAAGGTTCACCAGGTTACAAATTGCTTAAAGCCATTTTTGGAATGACACCCATGAACTTGAGATTAGTTCATCAATATGTGGGAGTGTTTAGAGAAAAGGAAAACTTGGGATTAATATGTGGGAGTTTTTAGAGAAAAGGGAAACTTGGGATTATTCCTACTATATTTTCTAAAAAAAATAAGAGTAAATCCAAGTTGATATCTGATATCAACGAGTTTTGTTAATATCAGGGTACCACTGTCATTTCACAATGTTTAGTAAGGGGCAAAATCGTAAAGAAAGATACTGATGCTGTTTTGTAAATGTTTCCCATTTTTTATCCCCGTTTTGAAATGGAAGCGACGTTAACATCTGCTTACCTCGTTTTGTCACTTTGATGTCTACCTTCTCCTTCTTCTGAAACCCAAATGTCGAGAACGAATTCAGGGTTAAATCGAATCCGATGAGTGTAGCTGAAAGTTTGATAACCCCATTACACTGTTGGCTGGACAACCCGATCCTTGATTGTCGGTAGCCCAGTTGGTGGGATCGGAGTTGCTATCGGAGTTGCTATCGGAGTTGTTGAATTGCCCGTGTAATCGGCTAATCGCAAAGTTGAAGACCGTGCAATCGTAGAAGGGTATTTGTTGGGAGTTCATCCCTATAATAAGGTAATTGGAATGCTAAATTGTTGTTTTAAATGTCGATTGATATAAAGGTTATTTTGTTGAATTGCGAATCGATTTTTGTTTGATATAATTCTAGCTTGACGATTGATTGTGCAAAAAAAAAGGATTAATGGTTTCTTCTAATTAGTTACTCCGTATTCAGAAGGCAATTGTAATGTAATACTTGAAAGAAGATTTTAATTTGGACAACAGGATTATAATTTCTTATTCAGAAGGTAATTGTAATGGTGAAATGTTCTTCAATATAAGTGCTTTAATTTTTACTTGATATTAGTGTTTGATTTTTATAATTGAAGGATTAGTTGTCTAGATCAGGAGTATAATATTTTGTTGTGTACAGGCATTAGAGGCTAGAAGATATGACTTGATTGTTTGTGAGATGGTGGAAGCGGATTACCCACCGTCCACCATCTTCGTTACCTCTGCTCAAGATCTTTGTTTCTCTCTCCTCCTACCCACATTTACCCAGATTTTATTAAAGGAAGGAGACGTTGTCAAATTTTCCGTCTATTTAAGATCCGTTACACTTTTGAAGTAAAATAGTGCAGCAACGGAGTCCTAGTCAGCATTCCACTAACTTACCAACTCTTTTCAAAAAAAGTTCGAAATATTTACAATAATGCCATGATATCAACATGGCTTGTTGATATCTGATATTAATGGGGACTAGCTCAAAAAATAATGTACTAGTAAAAAACAGATTATGATATGTGTATAAAGACTAAAGAGACTTGCTTCAAAAACATAATGGTAATAAATGGTATTTACCTCAAGGGGAGAGCACACAGGAATTTCATCGCAATGAGTCACAATATCACCTGGACGAACTCCTGCAGATTCAGCTGGGGATCCCTCTGTTACCTGGAAGGTGTTTACTTTATAAGATTCCACATTGAGGACAGTTATTATAAGCGTGAAATAAGTCCGAGTTTAAATGTTAAATGAAGGCCTCAAATTGTATTGAAAGAAACCCTGAACACAACAATTGAGCTATTCTCCAGAGTTGTAAAATACGGCATTCTCCATTGCAGTTTCAAGAAAGCGTGCAACGAGGTAAGGACTGAAAAAAGACATCCTTCAATTGTAAACATCACAAGCATATACAACAATGCAAACATATGATTATCCAAACGTAAGATTGGATTCAACAACATATGATATATAAAAAGCAAAGACCACTATGGATTCCACAACTAGATGGCGTAGCCTGTAGGTGATAGGTCAAGGTGTACATCCAATTCGTATCAATCAATTAAAAAAAGTTACCTTCTCTACAAATACCCCATTAATATCAGGAAATTTCTGGTATATTGTTTCAAGCCGGGCCATTTTCAAAGAATCAAGGATTCGAGTTCTCATTCCCAGCCAAGGTCGAACAATTCTCCTGCAAAATCCGGTACATATCACTACAGATGTTTTCTAAAGCATACATATAATGGTAGAGGCTTATACTGATGTTGACATGAAATTCAAAGCTCATTGTTTAAATAGAAGGAAATGGAAGAAAAAGAAGAGAAGAGAAAGTGGAGAGAACAATTTCTCTTGTTTGGGTAAAGGATTGGGGGAAGGAGAGGGAGGGATCCATATTCCCTTTCTATCTCATAAGCACAATCCCTCTAAAACTGGCGAGTTGGATGGAAAATAGAGCTCACCTTTCCTCTCCCTTTCTCTTCCCTCCGTTCTCCTCTTTCCATCCCCTTCCTTTCCTTCCTGCTATCCAAACAAAGCGTACAAAGTCAACACTACAATGTGGATTCTAAATTTCTGGTATAAAAATACATTGTTTAGAAAAAATCACTACCTCCAAAATAAAATGTGAGTGGAAAACAAAAAGTATTAAGATAATCTGAAACATAAAGGATAATTTTAAGCATGCATGGCCCAAGAATTGTAATATTAACCACTGTTTCATATGAGATTCTCAACAAAAGCATGACAGTCAATTAATTTCATGACAGAAGTATTAGTTATTTTGGAGATAATGTTGGACCATTTATAATTTTATAGTTACACCCTAGGTTGCACAAGAACGGGTACTGACACAAATTCGAGTAACGGATACGGGAAAACGTCTATCTCATAATAAGGGACGCGGGTACGGGATGTTAAAATTCATATAATATATGTAAAAAAAAATTCACCATATATTTGTCATTCCGTCCTCTAATAGGTTTGGATAAGGAAAATGTGTCACTTTTTTTTTTTTTTTTTAAAAAGGTATAAGGAAAGTGTGTCACTCATCAGGGGAAAAAACTACTGTATATAAAATACATTAAAGACGGATTTTATTTAAAAACATAAAATATGTCAAACTTACATCATATTTCAACAAATTAAATGTGAAGATGCAAGAGAATAATGTTTATTACGTAATTAATTCAATCACTTAAAAATTAACCACTTGAATAAGAGATCACTGTCAGCCATTAACTAGTTAATTTTTCAATGATTGACTAAAATAATATCAAACAAAATAAAGCAAGTACAAAGTATGGAAGGAAAACAAAATCATGTAGAAAGGAAAAACCAACAATGACATACCCATAACTTTTGAAGTGCTTCAAGCATCTCAGCAAAATGGTATTGGGAAGAAAAACAAAACAGCTTGCATCAGTGAAATTCATTCCAATAACTGATCCCGAAGCGATGTCAACAAGAGGTCCGCCAACGCCATACTAGGACATAAAAAAAGAAGGTAAGCAAAATGTCCTGAAAATACCATTGCACTTCATCAAAAAAACACACAAAACAAATGTAAATACTTTGTAAATATTATAATAAATCATTATTACAGCTTGGAATCTATAGACTGAAATTATATTTAACAACATAATACAAATTGAAAAGTTATAATTGTACTATCCTATTTTCATTAAAAATCAGACCATAAAGCAACATAGAATAACATTTCCACAGGATTATTAAGTGAATACAACTTTCCCTTGGTTATATAACTTAGTCCCCTAATAAGTCATCCAAAAAAAGATAGTCTCCTATTAAAAAAGATAGTCCCCTATTAAGAAAGACAATCCCCTATAAAAAAAATATATAGTCCCCAAAAGGTATATTGCTGTCTGATTTGTAATTAGGGTGGTCTTTCTCTTTGTTCAACAACATTTCACTACAAACAATGGACTCCAGGAATTTTATTTTTATATCTGGGGAAGAAGAAATTACTGGAAGAATTTTCATTTTGCTCGTTTCTCTCTCATTTTACCCAGTAATTTTCATCGTCCAGTAAGTATTATCCCGCATTTAATTAAATTACTGCAATTAGGAGTATATTTTTTTCAGTCCATTTCTTTACTTTGTTCTTGTGAAGTAAACTAAAATTAAATTGTCATTGTATTTTATTGCTAATTTTCTTCAATTTTGATTTTACCATGGATTTGTTAGTTTTATTGATTATTGTTGTGTTATTCCTCTTATTTTTTTACTCCACGGCCTTTTTTATTAGGAAAATTTGATTTAAATAATCCAACCTTTGGCCGGTATATTTTAATAAAAACATTTTAATTATTCTACAATAATCCCAGTTTTACCCCCATTCTTTTTTATTAGGCCAAACCAGTCATCAATTTACAACAACAGGTTACCTTGCACGTGCCACATTTTGATTAATCTAATTTTTTTAAAAACTTTTTTTTCAAAAAAAAAAAAAACATTTATATTTTCATTTCCCCTTTCCTCCATAACTTCCTGCCAACACCAGAGCAACCAACCCCCCACACACACCACCAACACAACCCACTACCAATTCATAAACCACAATCAGCCACCCCTCCACTGCCCTTGCCCCTTGCCCTTACCCCGCACCCCCCCCTCCTTCCTCGCCCTTTCTCCCCCACTCCCTCATCGTCAATCTCCACCTGACCCAGCCACCCTCCTTTATCAAAACTTGAAATTAATGGTCAGTAATTTCGATATCCAATGAATACCCGTCGAATCCACCTACCTCAGTCGAAAAACCCTCACCCACCTCCAAGAGAACCCCCACCCATCCTCCCTCAAAACAAAACCCAGAAGTATTCAAGGTGGGTTTTAGGAATTCGCAGTGTATAACGTGGTGGGTGAGGTGATAAGTGTTTTGAGGTTGGTTACAAGGTGGCTGAATGGATGAGGGTGTCGGTTTATTTTGGAATTGACAAAATTTTTATGAAGAGACTTTTTTTTGGCAAATAATAAATGAAGAGACTTGAGAATTTTTTCACGTGAGTTAAAGATGTGTTAACTAGCCAGATAGTTAACTAGAGGTCCCAAAAGGTGAAAAAACTAAAAAGATAAACCATTGTTAAAACTAACTTTACAGCCTTCATTTACCCCACAAATCCTCTATAAGCAAAGGCTTTCAAAGATCATTATAACCAAATATTTACAGAATTTGTTGTATACACCCGGGTGTACTGTACACCCAACTAACCCAAGGTTAGTTTTTGCTCTAGATTTGATGATTAAATAATAAACAATCATCAAAATGAGAACAAAACACTTATGGGTGTACAGTCAACTGGGTGTATATAACAAGCTCTCAAATATATATAACCTCATCTTACTTATATTTCCCACGTCAAATGTGAACAGGCACCTGTAAATTACATCATTACAATGAAGACAAATATTAGCCATGCTATAAAGTATGAACCCATACAATAAGCAGTTAAGCACCGCACATGATCATATAAATTAGATTATACACCGAGATGCATGATTCTCATTGTGCACACAGCTTTTGCTGGCAACTATTGAAAAGTGCAAAATTAAGGTTATTAATTTCCAATTTTAACTTGTAAAGTATATTTTTGCAAATTTTAGGAAGAGAATGCAATACTAGGGATTGAACATATCATTGTAGAGAGATTTATTTTAGAAATTATGAATTTCAAAGCAATTTAGGAGTTGATTATAGTCAATAAATTTAATATTAGGAAGATGAAATTGAAGAACTCATTATTGAAAGAATTTATTTCAGGTTTATATACTTAAGAGTACTTTTATTCCGGTTTGTATTGTATAAGGTTGAATATAATGTTCATTTCATTATAAAGGATGTTCTTTTAAGTTTTAACACATGTGCTTTCTCATTATGATCCTTCTTTAATTGTTTAACAAGAATTGAACCTTTTTTTTTTTTTTTAAATGAGTTGTACGTTCTTTGGGTCTAAGTAAAATGTATTCTTTGTAATTTACTTTATGAAATATGCTCTTCAATGAATGGAGATTAAATATGCTAATTGGATATGAACAATATGTTTTTTTGTACTTGGATAGTATGTTCTTTAAATCTTTCGAGTTCATGTTCACTTGCTTTAACCCATATTTGTTTTTGAGTTCATGCTTTTACCCCTTATGTTCTTTTGAGTTCATGTTTATTGTTAGAATATATGATAATTATATTCTGATTTTATTGTATATCCTATATTTGTTATGTATTTATCTTGTGCATAATTATAGGTAGATAGCTATAGATTAGCTCCTTAATCTAAGGCTTAATACTAGGCTAAACTCTCTCTTGTACGATGTATATATTCTAGCTAATGCTAATGAAATGGCAAGCCAGAATATATCAATGGCACCTTTAAAGAGTTTTTTTATCACCATGGAATGCTATTCCGCCTCTCTTGTCCTCATACCTCACCTCAAAATGGAAAAACCGAACGACACATAAAATCAATAAACAATATCATAAGGACCTTACTTGCTCATGCCTCTTTACCTCTCTCATTTTGGCATCATGCTCTAAAACTGGCCACGTATCTTCTAAACATTCTTCCAACCAAAATTTTAGGATTTAAGTCTCCAACTCAAATTCTATATCAATGTGATCCCATATACTCGGAGTTATGTGTTTTTTGTTGTTTATGTTTTCCTCTATTCCCGTCTATTTCTATTCACAAATTAAAACAAAGGTCCACTCCTTGTGTCTATCTTGGTCCCGCTCCAAATCATAGAGGGTCAAAAAGTTATGATATGTCAAATGGCAAGTTTATCGTTTGTCGTCATGTGGAATTTGTTGAACATGAATTCCCATTTTCTAAACTTCACACTCCTCATACTAATGATTACAATATTCTTGATGTCAATCCTCTTGTTCATTACATGCATCACAACCTTAGCCCAATCCTCTTGCCCATTTCATTAGCATTAGCCAGAATATATACATCGTACAAGAGAGTTAAGCCTAGTTTAAAGCCTTAGATTAAGGAGCTAATTACCTATAATTATGCACAAGATAAATACATAACAAATGTAGGATATACAATAAAATCAGAATATAATTATCAATTTTATCATATATTCTAACATTTATATTTTTTAGCTTTTTATGCTCTTTAGGGTTCATGTTCTATGAATTGAACCGATATGTCCTTTGGGATACTCGCTTTCTATGTTTTGAGGGGTGCCATTCTAAAATGAGTGCACGATCCATGCTAAAGCTAAGAATAAGAATGAATTTGCACTCATGCCTAAAATTTTTGGTTCAGAATCTCTGACCTTAACCAAAGGAAGCCCCAGTCTGATGGTTTAGTGTTCATAAGAATCTGTAAACCTATGCCAGTTGATTATATGCAGCTACAAGCGAAGTGAACCAATAAGTCACAATCTAGGGTTTATTGTCGGAGACATTTGATGCTATGTGCAACTAATGGACACATGAAACAAGAAATCTGTTTTAGTCAAACACTATAAAATTCTTCAGTTAACATCAATTTGAAACAGTTACCAAAAAAAAGAAAAAAAAAATGTTAATTATCTTATATAACCTTTGTTCTATAAGTCATCACCAATATGGTTTCAAATTAAGGAGCATTAATTTAAAAAAAAAAAAGGAAATAAAATTAAATGGAAGAAGCAATTCTCCAGGTTTATTAAGGAATCAAGTGGTATAAACAGCCACTTACACGTGATATTACGCAGCCTGTAGGCAAAACATCATCAGAATCCAAATTGTGGTCTTTGAGCAAAACTTCTCCCTGAGCAGCCAGCAAATTGTACGAGCTAGCATGTCGACCAAGGGCTACCACACTCTTCCCAGGAGAAAACAGCTCAAAATCAGGCAGAAGAGTGCAACATGAAGTTTAGGAACAGATGGCACCGTAAGAATGGCAATATTGTGATGAAGATCAACATGTGAAATGGAACCAGGCACTGTTTCGCGATTGGGCAAATGTACTTCAACCTGAAACAATAAACACCATCGGCTTAAAGTTATCTCTCTATGCTTAACCATGGCTGTACATTTTATTTTAGTTTAATTCAATGACACACAATTAACTTAAATAAATGATCCTAACCTTTATTAGTATTTGAACCGCGTATGACCATGCAACATATCCTTCAAATAATAAATATCTTTTTATATATAATTTTACATGTGCACACTAACAAAACTTAGTTATCTGTTAATACGGACCAAGACATTAGACTGAGCTGGTAAATATTCCCATTACACACCACTCAATAACTCCAAAAACTTCCTTGATTTCTTAGTATTTGATTGCAACATTCACAAGCATCAATGTGCAGCAAGTTTTATACAATCCTCAAGAAAACTACATATTACAAGTATCACATGTAACAAAAAGATCAACCAAAATAATATTGTTAAAATGATTCAGCCAGCTCATAAGAGCATTTTTTACATTGTCATAGGCCATGTTCAGCGATGGCATTTGAGGCTATAAAATTATGCAATGTAAAAGGTTATAAAATTTATCTCAATCTATATCATGATATCATCAAAATGTCAACTTTTAACAATTCTTACCTAAAGATAATTTAAGATACTAATGGTCAACGTTGTTCGTTGGAAAAAGTGCCAAATTAAATGGGGACAATAAAAGCACCTAAAGATAACATTTCAACTACTATCTTTGTTCGAATTTACTTGTATTAGATTTTATACAAGTGGAAAAGCAGAGTAATAAATGGGAAGGTGAGTGAAGGAGTGGGACCCAAATCAAGAGAAAAGGATAAAAATTTCTTATACAAGAAATGCGGCAAGTAAATTAGGACATCCCAAATAAGAATATGGGGCAAGTATAGAAGGAGTGATTTTCAATACAATAGTGTTGCTATGCCAATTAGACCTAGAACAGGAGAAGGGTGCTCCATCAAAAGAAGGATAAGAAATTATGAGCAATTTTTAGGAAACTAATAGACAAAGACCTTTGGGTAAAATCTTAAGGGTACATGGAGAGGTATAGAAGCAATGAAGAGGATGCCACCAAGCAACACCACCTTCATCAGAAGTTATTTGTTAAAAAATGTCAGCATAGTATGACAAGCCACCTCTGCTGCTATTAATGGGCTATGTAAATCGTGGGAGGTGCTCCCAAGAGAGCAAAAAAAAAAAAAAAAAAAAAAAAAAAAACAATTTAGTATCTTCATGAGTTCAAAGGCTTTAAATCCTTTTCATCTACTTTTATAAACGCTGCTATAAAGCTTAGCAAAGAAACATCACCCAAAGGGGTGGCATTTTAGTTAAGTAATTGACTGTGTATCACTCAAGAGGAAGAAACGGAATAGAGGTTGGGTGAAGCCACAAGGATGCTTCGAGGAAAGCACTGGGGTTAGACTGGGGGTTGCTAGCATGCTGGTCACAAAGAAGGACAGGAACTGAGTGGGTTATGCACTCAGCAACAATATAACATTAGCTATTTAAGACAAAGTGTACGTTTCTAATTTGTAGTCACATATCACACTGTGATCATGGAGATGCACAATATAACACCCACCATACACCAATTTAGCATGTTGTTACTGAAATTGAAAACACTACTAAATTTAATACTATCAAGTATCAACCATAATGTTTCATTACTAATCTCCAAGCAAAGGAAAAACATTCAGGAGTATACATCTTGTAGGAGTGGTAAAGTGCTACATATACCACAAGCATAAAAAACAAGGCATGAACACTATAAGTAATAAGACTAACCGTAACATTGGTAATGGTAGGCATGGTATCCTTATATCCTATGAAGAGACTAGCAGAGGTTAAGATCGTTCCATACATATCATTCCACTCGATGAAAAATCCTGAGCAACTAAAACGGAATTTTTCTCCTGTAATAAAATAACAAATTTGTCAAAATTCATTTACAAATCTGCTTAACAGATTCTTAGAATTAATCAATAGGAAAATGCCCAAGCATACCTACGAAAGACGTCAGTGCAACAACAGATGGCGCAACTCTAAAAGCAACAGATCGTGCAATTCGACTATTATAGTCACCTTCATCCAAGGTACAAAACTCTCCATTATTTCGCAATCCTGTTGAAAGTGAACTGAATTCAATATTAGCCCCAAACAAACGGTAAAAATTGACAACAACGTAAGAATGCTCAATTGAAAAAGTCAAGTTCTACAAGAATAAGCATATTTAATATAGCGACACTCATAAATAGGTCAGTAGAATCTCTATTAACCCAACCATACAATTAGAGATGTGTAGCATTTTATTTCTTCAAATTAACCCATATTTGCAATGGCGAGTGTACAATGACTACTTATAGCCTCCATTGTACTCAGAAATGTGTAAAAAAGAGAATAAATAAGACCATATATTGCCAGTTTTCTACTATTCCTCAAAACTTGTGTATAGCTACAGCCCCTAGATTTTAGAGTTCCTGGATCAAGACATTCCTTCTTTAGTCCTTCACTAATTATTGAAACACAATTATACAGGACTACAAGAGTATGCCCCAACAAACAAATCCAAAATACTTGTCTGCGTCCAAATTTAAAATTCAGAAATAAGATTGCATATTTGCAGTCACGAAATTCCTTTGAAAGAATCAAACTAACAATAAGACCATCTATACATTCTTAAAGCATTCATTTGATATCATGTACAATATAAGGATAGACATGAACAGATTATATAGTAAAGAACATAAAACATACCGCCTACATATTTTGGCTTTTTATTAAACTTCAAAGGACTAACTTTTGTTTTTATCGTCGCTGCCAATGAAATAAAACTGTGTTAACAAAGAAAATTTGTTATGATCAATAGATTAAGTATAACTTTTATATCATAAATATATATACAGGTAACAGGCTCATTGTTCAATTACTAAATAGCGAATATACAATTCACATAATACACACACTTTAACCAGTTAATTTGGCAGCATGATTCCAGCTTACGTGGCTCACTCGAGACTTTGAGTCAAGTACATATCTATACAAAAACATACTTTCAGATAAACTATACTCTCAGTCAGGATACAACACAATTTATCCCCCGTCTCAACCCCGTGCTTAACATTCACCAAGAATTCACTAAAACACCGTCTGTCAACTGTCATTACCTTATTTTAATCGCTCAACAATATGAGTATTCTACCTTATTTTCTTATTTTAATCGCTCAACAATATGAGTCATGTACCAATGTGCATGAAATTAAGAATAAGGTGCATATATAAAATAATCGCTCAACAATATGAGTATTCTACCTTATTTTCTTATTTTACAAAGTAATTAATGTCCTAGTGTTCATTTATCAAAATATTCTTCAAAATAAAATCAAACTAACACTAAATTGCAACATTGTTTTGCTAATAGTGATATCAAATTGTTAACAATAATCCAGAAAAAAAACAAACGTCGAATTTTTTATTCAGATATATAATTGAGTTTATAACTATATAAGCAAAAACAAGAAATTGATCAAAATTGAAATTACGGGGAAAAAAACCTTCGCCTCGTCGAATTTTGTCGAGTCTTTCGTAGACAGTAAGAGGACGCGATGACTGAGGTTCCTCCGGCTGATCAATGTCAGACATTGCTGCCAGTAACGAGCACCAATTACCGGAAATTCCTTCCAAAACCCAAAATTCTGAGACAATGGGCTCTTCTTCCTTATTATATGCAAATTCGAGGTTTTATTTACTGTTTGCTAGTTGCTACGAATTACTCCGTATTTGTAAATTTATTACTCCGTATATCTATTTATTTTTGGCACGAATTACCTTAGGTCGTAAAGATATAATATAATAATCTCACACAAATTCTTATAGGGCTGTTTATTAGTCCAAGACCAGACCGATCCGGATTAGACTGAAGATTGAAAATTACTCCGTAGAATTTTAAGAATTAGAGATCAGACCGATTAAGCTAGGACTAAACCCAGTTCGGACCGAGAGAATCGGTCCAAAACCCGGACCAGAATGCTTTGGACCGATTACAGAATTTTTAAAAAGAATACTAAATTTTTAATAAAGTTATGAAAAACACGAAAAAAAGCAAAGGAAAAACTATATTTTAACATCCTTTTTACGTCTTTTTTGTATGTTTAGTACAAAAAAAACTTATAAAGTTAAAGTTTTCTAAGCTTATAATTTTAATCATTACTTAAAGTTTCACGCATATTTTTTCCAAGACCGATTTTTATAAGGTTTTGGACCGAACCGTACCGAAGACCGGAAAAAAGAATTTCAAGACCCGAAGACCGAACCGATTAATCCGGTCCGATCCGGGGTGGTTCGGTCCATTTTTCGGTCCGGACCGATTTATGAACACCCCTACTATTTATAATAGAAGTTACTTTAATAGTATTATAGAGGTTTTCCTATACCAATTGGTTGTTGGTGTAGTGGTGATTGAGACTACACTTGGTAGGGAGGACCCGTGTTCGATCCCCCGCAACGACAATCGGGAGGGGACTGGAACCTAACCACCCAGAATTGATCCCCGAATCCGGATTAGCCCAAATGATGAACCGAGGAACACCAAAAAAAAATGAGGTTTTCCTATTAGTGATCAGGGGTTACTTTATTAGTATTATATGATCTGTCATCATTGTATTACACTTCCCTATCATCTTCTTCAACTCAATGTGCCACATGTCATTTTATATTTTTTATTTTTAATTATACAATTCTTCTTAACTATTTCATTAAACATTTTATCTTCATCTCCCCTCTTTAATTCAACCTTTTTATTTTCTTTCTTTGATTTTAGTCCCTCCATCTTCTTTCTATTAAGTCTTATTTTAAATTAAAGTCCCAAAATTTTAGGTTTCGTTTGGCATCACTGTGGTTTTCTTTTTTTTTGGTTTTTTGTATTTTAAAAGTATATTATATATGTCACATAATGAATCAAAAATTAAATCATAATAATTTTGAAAACTGATAACAGAAAAGTGGAATCACCTTTTCCTTGTTTCCTGTTTTTGATTTTTAGTTTTCAAAAATACAGGAAACTGAAAACCAAAAATGATGTCAAACAAGCCTTTATTTCTTTAATTATATTTTCAGTTACATATTACACTCATAATTATTTATTGGTATTTCTTCACTCATCTCTCAATGCAATTTTCTATGAACAAGCCGTGCATTGCACGGGTCGGAAGACTAGTTTTAAATTAAATGAAGGTATAATGATCATTTCACCTTAATATGCTTACAAAAACTCCTATCAACTCACCACAAAACTCTCCACTCAGCTTATTATAGTAGTCAACTAACTAAGGAATATTTGTCAATTCTTACGGCATATTAATTTCATTTTGAAAATTACTGCCCTTATTGAAAAACTTGTGACTTACTATCCTTAAACGTTTTTTAAAAAACTTTATTTTTTTTACCAATCCCCATTTTCAACAACATATGTCACATTTTATTGCAATGCATATAAAGCAGTGGAAATTGAATGTCGGTTATAACTAGCTACATGGTTCTCTTCTAGATGAACTCATATGAACAACTAACTTTAAGGCTTGAGCGGTTTTGAAGAAACAAAAAAGTCGATAGACGCTCTAATCTTCATGGTCCCATAAATCAGCAACACTCTTAAATGGTCCATCACGCTTGTTAACAAACAGAGCTTCCCCATCCAACTCACGCTTCTGTACAATTCACAAATATATGATCATTATTAGATCAAGTATCCTAGAGATATATCGAAAATTTTCTTTAAAATTAATGTCAAATTTATGAAGTAATTAAAGTGTATATTGTACCTGGTTTTTAATCGTGCATAGAGCTTCAAAATCTTGCTCGGGTATTTCCCAATCGAAGACGTGAACATTCTCTTTGAGATGATCAGGGTTGGTAGATTTTGGTATAACACTGGTTCCTCGTTGTAAGGCCCATTTGACCAAAATCTGTCCAGGGCTCTTGTTCAACTTCATTGCCACCTTATCTACCACTGGATCATGCACCAGATCTCGTCCTCCGTCTTGTGACCCCAACGGTGAATAGGCCTACCAACAAAAGACAATGTAAATTTGCACTGGCTCGATCGCTCCATTTCGAAATAGAACATGTACGCACGATTGCACGAAAACAAATTTTGAGATTTTCAAGTTGGCATGACACTCTACGTAGTAATGGATAATGAATATGATTCAATAAGATCGAAGTTACACATCTATATATTAAATTAGCATATATACATGATACATCCCAAACATTAGGCCATTAGGGTGAGACATGTTTTGCACAAGATCATATTAGTGAAAATTTAATATAGAACAATCCTGGCCTTACCGTGACGTGTATGCTGTTTTTCTTGCAAGTCTCGAGCATTTTGTCGTTCCTCCATCCCGGGTGCATTTCCATCTACAAAATTAATCTCATTTCATCAATTCCCTCAGAATTATCAACAAATATCTCTAACTAATTATGTTGAATTGTTGAATATTTATTTCAACCATACTACTACTTGTATAAGCAAAGGTACTAATTACCTGGCAAACTGACGGCTTTATTCGAGCAATGTCCAGCAGCTTATTAAGCTTCTTGATTGTAAAATTACAAACCCCAATGTCCCTAACAAGATTTTCCTCCACAAGCTTTTCCATTTCCCTCCATACACCTTTCATGTCGAAATCCGTTACCTCCCCTGCCTTAGGTGGCCTACTAGCTCCTTCTTTTAAGTGAAATGGCCAATGAATCTGCAAATTAATTACTCTAGTTGTGTCACATTTCATGATTTACAAATCCGTGTAACAAATTATTATTAAATGGGGCTGGTTAGTTACAAGGTAGAGGTCGAGGTAGTCGAGCTGAAGTTCTCGAAGAGTATTGTTTATAGCAGGACGAACTCTTTCTGGAGATAAATCCGTACACCTGCATAATGTATCATGATACAATTAGCATTCCCTTAGAAGTTAGAAAACTACATGTGACTTATGTTCCATACTATGAAACTATATAGATTTATACGTATGGAAAACCAATGTAACAGTGTACTGTGATCTTGTGGATACCGTCTAAACAAATACAAAGTACTATTATAGACCATTAGACCTACATTAACTTTTTATCATTTTTACTTGTTAAAAATAAAGAAAATGATTGTTTAAAGTTATGCATTTACAAGTGTGATATATAAACCTGATAAAAGTTATACATTTGCAAGTGTGATATATAAAACTGATAAAAGTTATACATTTACAAGCGTGATAGATAAAACTGATAAAAGTTATACATTTACAAGCGTGATAGATAAAACTGATAAAAGTTATACATTTACAAGCGTGATAGATAAAACTGATCGATGAAGTAATATAGTAATAAAGATGATGGAGCTAAGGACTGGAAATTAGACCATATTGAATCGGGAATTAAGTTTTGGGCGTAGAAATTTGAAGATACCATAGCTTCGAAGTGACAAAGATATGCTTCCTCTCTATGCCTGCATGCATGGCTGCTTTAAGTGCACGACCGACCTGGGGAAATTATAGATTAATAAAAGAATTTAAGTTGACATACTAGATTCACCTAATAACCTGCCACATGAACCTGTGCATAAATAGCTAGCAAAGGTGTGGAAGAACAGCTCCCCTCATAAGGAAAACGCACAGCAGTATTGGTAGCTTTAATATGCACTTCGTATATAATAGATAAGACAAAGTATAATAATTGTATTCCAAATACTAAAAATAGCTAAAGAATCTTCATTGTCTAAGCAAGCTTAGTAGATATGGTAGTCGTGTAAAGCTCAACTTGTGACGTAAAATCTAACAGTCACAATTCAAGTTTTGAGTCCGTCATCTACATACTTGTGCTAAGAAGTGGAGAATCCCTCTCAGAAATCGTTTGGTTAGATCTTTTGAATGGATTGGAATGGAGTTAGATATTATTCCAATTTTTTTTATTTTTTTTTTTGTTTGGTTGAGGTTATTTTATAATAATGGAATCTTATCATACACAAGAGTTCTAACTCTACCTTATACTTGTAGAATCTCATACCCACCTCTCCCCCTAATTAAGATTCACAATTCATTCTAACAATAAATCAAAACAACTTTACACTAGTATGGATTCTAGTATGGATTTTAGAGATTCCATAGTAATCCATTCATTACAATGAACCAAACACCCTCTTATAGGGATTCTCAAGACTAGGGGTGCTAATTGAGCAGAGCAAAAGAAATACAATATTTTTCTATTTTTTATCTTTAAAAACAAAAATTTATCTTAACACTTAATAAAGTTAAAATAATAAACTTAAAATAATAAACTTAGGTAGGAAATATTTATATAAAGATAATAAAATATAATTAACTAATATTTGAAATTCAAGACCTAAATCTTTCAACGAGCAACTCGTTATCGATTCGACTCGAAAATTAACAAACACGAGTCGAGCAACACTCTCGACTCGCTCGATTAGCACCCCTACTCGAGACAGGTTGGGAGCCGACTCAAATTATATCACTAAGTTAGCCTAGTAGGTCTTCTTTATCCATTATTATATTGTCTTGTTTAGTTTGCCTAATCATCGAAACAAATAAATCTAAATATCTTGCCCCTAACCGGCATACATACCCTTTTTAAAAGAGAAAGAGATAAAAACAAAGAAAAAATATAAAAAATCACATCGATCCTCACAAATTTCCTTTTTGAAAAACTTTGTGGGAGGAAGGAATATGTAATACGGAGT